GAGACGTGCTTACAAATCAGAATATCTTTTTTGTTGTTGTTTATCGTAAGGCTGATTCAGGGGGGGGGGAGGAAAGGAGAAGACTGGAGATGAGGATCGAGTCACGCTTGATTGATCCTGTTGGAGCAATGAAAGAGGAAAAAGGGCCTTCAGAGAAAGGGAGTAAAATGTGTTATTGGCCAGAGAAACTGTCTGAAGTCTAACTGGAGGCAGAGCATGGATCCTCCATAGAGATCAGAGGTTTAAGTCCAAATGCTTTGAATGCATTCTGACAATCTGGGATTCTCTCTTTTAATCAAATGCAATAATAATCATTAGTCCCTGTGTGCACTTGAGGGATGTGTTTTTATCTAGAAAGATTGAAAAACATTCTTAGTATTAAATATTCACACTGAAGTGTCTGTGGAGCTATTTTGCAGCTCAGCTTGTGATAGACTTGTTTTGTGCCCTTGGCTTTTTACCTGAGGCAAGAAAGACAACATGAAGTGTTCTGTCTCTGTTTTAGGGTAAATGATGTAATGTGTAATCAATATAAATCTGCACCGAGGCCAAAGAAGGCATTGCATAGTGCGTGTGCTTGTTTAAAAATGTATTGGCAAGGGATGGTACCGGCATTGCCAAACTGTTCAGCTAAGACTAATCACTTCCCAAAGAAAAGAGAACAAGTCCCTTCCAGTTAATCTATAAATGTCTGCAACGAGTGGAGTGTTTGCCATTCATTGTCAACAGTGCCTGATAAAAAAAGACATGCACAGACACATTTTTAAGATAACCTCCTCTTGTGTGCTGGTAGTGGTGATCCGTGTACAGACCTTCCTGTATTATGTTTGAGAAGCTGAGGTGAATAAGAGTGAAACTTTAGGAGCTTTTAGACAGCGAGAAGCCGCTGCCAAGGTTGGCTGCAAGGACAGGGAGGGCTGCTGCCTCTAGTGAAGGCACGCAGCTTTTTGGCACCGCTTTCAGAGTTTACGATGATTCAACTTTTTCAACTTGATGTCGCAGCTCGCTGTGTGACCCTGGCAAGCGCAGAAACTACTGTTAAAGGAAGGGACAAGATAATATGAGGTGGGTAGCAGCAGCCTGCGCTATACATGTTAGGATCAGAGATGTGCATTTTTTTTTTGGGTCACTTTTTATATTTCCGTAAGTGTTACTAATAGTGTAAGCGATCTTGAACTTGAACCGGTTTTTAGAGCTACTGGTTTGTGAGTTTGCCTCATCTTTGTCTTATTCTCTCTCCTTGTATCTGTTTTTCCATCTCTCTCTGCCATAAAGGGCAGAGCTCATGAATAAACTAGAGGGAGGGAGGGGCAGGTCCATTAAAAGTTCATGTAGGAAATGCTCTAATGGTAGTGGTCACTGTTATCAGGACTTCCTGGCAAACGGAGGAATTACTTTTGACACAGCAATGGTGTCGGTGTGAAGTGAGGCACATTCACTTGTCCACTCCTACTTTTACATTGACAACATTGGCTTGAGTATGATGGAGAGTTGCTTACTCTTCGATTAAATGTGGACATTTGGAAGTTTTATCTTATAGCCATCCTTGGCTATCAACAGGGTACAGATTATTCAGGGTGAAGTAACAGCTAGCTAACAAAAAAACACTACAAAATGGGAATATTTAAAGGGGACCTATCATACAAAATGCACTTTTTGATGTCTTTTATACATAGATATGTCTTTTTCCTCCGTACCCAAATCTCTAAAAACGGGGCTACAACGGAGCTGATCCAGATTTGCGTCCAATATGACGTAATATCCGAAATGTGGACCCACGGCCCTATCAGAAACGTTGCTATCAGAAACAATGCCCGACTGTTTTGGACTTAATATGTTCGGTGCATGTCTACATTAGCATCGCTAACACTCAGAGCTAACCTGTACTGCACAGAGCATGTGTGTGAAGAAGCAGGAAATAAAAAGGAACTCACCTTGTGGCAAGGGAGAAAGCCTTTGAGCTCCATACTGTTTCAGGAATAATCCTTGATAATCCATTATGGCGTTTCATCACCGCAGTATCTGCCGGTAGATTCTCCCGCATGAGCTCAGCACCCTCCTTTTTTTTTCTTTTTAAAAAAAAGCTTTATACCCCAAATCAGCACTTTTGAAACAGGAAGTGAAATGGAGGGATATGAGTCATGGCTAGTATGGGTGATCTGTTTGGTATTTTGAGCAAAACACTTCATAGACATGTTTTGTATATATTTTTATCTGAGACCTATTGCCTAAAAATAGCATGATAGGTCCACTTTAAGTTATCTTTTATGGTTGAGTAGATAGAGCAGTTATATCCTCCTAAAAAAGTCCACCTGCTAAAAGCTTGCTCAGATACGTAGTGGAGATTGACCACTGAAATTAAATGAGCAGAAGACTGAAGCAGGCAATAAAATGCCATGTCTCTGGTATTTTAGGTCAATTCAGTTTAGTGCTTTGTTTCTAGCTGGTTATATCAAACTGCTCGTTAAAAAAGATATACCTAAACATCTCAATGTTAAAGCTTTTCCATAGTTCATCTACCATATTCATGCCCTCACGTGTTTATGTTCCAGTAAAGACATTATGATTGTAGTGTAGCTGTTATGTGCTGAATGTGTTCTGCTTGCTAGGTGTAGAGCCCGGCATTTGCACAATGTTCTCTCCCTTAGCAGCTACATTTACAAATGTCTACAACAAAATGCAGGAAATATCCTCTCTACTGTGATAAAACCATTTTTCAAAGAGTCTGTCTTGCTTCCCCCAGTGGAGAAGTGAAGTGGAACTCATCGGCCATGGTTGGTGAATGGCAGCGTTACTGTAAAGATCCTCCTCGAATCTGACAATTTGTGAAGTGTGCTGACTATGTAGCTCCGAGCTTTGATTTATGACCACTTTTCCTCTTTGCTGATGCAGTTTGCTTTCTACAAATGTTGCCAAGATTCGCTACACTGTTTCCTAGGCAAAGTAATTAATGTTTCAGTTTACCTGGCTGATTGTATAGTTGCCTCACATTGCTCTAAAAGCCAACATGACAGAGCATTCATCTCAGGAGGGTTGCTGCAAAACATATCCTTTCAAAGAACCATTTGTGATCGTCTATTCATCTTTGCAGTGGTGCCTGAGAATCACTGCAACAACCTGTGGCAAAATATCAGGCACTACTGAATGTAGGCAGTCTGTACGTTTCTATATTCTTGAGCGTGAATGGAAGCATGTGGGTGAGGGTGGGTCGATACATCACATTGAGAAAGGCAATTAGCTTGAAGCTAATGAGCGATATAATGACTTCAGCAAAACAGCACTGACCAGGGGAAACGGAAAGAAACCACAGAAACCACAGAAGGCCACATTGACATGAACGTGATCGCACAATCAACTTCACCACTACTGCTGCAGCTTGACGACGGAAGGAGCAAAGCATAAATCTTTTGGCCCGTCTCCTTCTGCATATAAGATCTCCATAAATCACAGCCCACCTCAGCTCACAGCCGCTCTCTCTTTTGCTTCACAGCTCGTGATTTATAAGGATCACACTGCCGGCAGACAGACGGTTAAAGGTTTAGTTTTCTCTGTCAGTCGTTTGTCCGTCCACCATCACGTTTTTTCTTCCATCATTTAAGACCGGTGTCATGTGGCTGTCTGCCCTTTACCTAACCACATTCCACTTAAGTTGTCATTTATTTCTATTCAAGACATTCAGCCTTTGTTAGAGCACTTCTTGATCTTAAGTGCATAATAATCAAATTCAGCATAATGGGTTTGTAAGATTGTTTTAAATGTCAGTTGCTGCACTCACCTGCTCCCACATTCTCGTTATGGCAAACCATCCAGCCGGAGTTATGTGCCAGTTCCCTTTCTTTTTTCTTTATCTTTTTTAATACGTATTTTTATTTCATTATATAATAATCAATGCCATTTCATTTAAATTGTAATATCACAGTACACGCACTACACTCCCCACTCCCTCCCTCCACCCGCACATGCCCACACAGGCAAAACCAAACCAAAAAATGCTTATCAAGATAACTTAAACAACAGAGCCATGAAAAGAAACCTAGAAAGGGGAAAAAAAACATAAAAGTAAAACAAACAAATAATTATACAATACAGCGACAATGTAGACAATGACAGTTACCTTTCTATTTCACAAAACAATTCAGAGCTACTTAGACAGTATTACATACTACTGCCAAATAGTTAGCTTGAGCAGTAGCAACAGAAGGCCTTCCAGCCCACACACTGTGCAGTTTCCATTTCAGTATGATGGGCGAGGATATGGGATTACAGCACTTAAATCCAACAATCAGTCCTATTGGGCCGTCCAGTAGAGAGAGAAGGACCCAAACATTACAGGTCATTAGCAGGACCAAGCTTAAAGTCATTATACTAATATAACCCAGAAAAGTGTCTCCTCTGCAAAATCAGTTGGTCAATACTGACCCACAGTCACATTTTGTTACAACGATTCATATCCCCTACTAGTATTGATTTGTGTTTAACTGATTTGTTTTTGGACTGTCTGAATATTGTAGTGCTCCTTTCCGCTATAACAAAATGACTTCTCATTTTTCCTAACATGGAACTTTTAAACTCCTTTGAGAGCTTGCCAGCATTTGATGGATGCCAAACAATGACTGAAGACATTTTGATATGTCACAGTAGGATAGACTCAGGTGTAAATGCTAGAAATCAATCACGACTGAATTATATTTTGCTGCTTCAATTTCAGGCTCCAGGTTCTGTGCAAGCTGTTTATAATTCCCTTATGGAGTGAGATAATTGTATACGTCACCAGGAGCTGACATGAAGCATGGATCATAGTTTTGAGAACAATCTCTATGATTGAACACCAAACTAGTGAATTATGTAGCATGAGATTAGACACGGTGACACGCTTTAAAATGGTTAAGGTATAAAGAGAAGATTCGGGGAAAGGTTGAAGATGTTTGTGGTTTGGGAAGAGTTTGTTGTGGATCAAATCAAAGCGGGAATCTTTGAGAGCCCCCTTCCTGCTCCTCTGGTTTGATACATTAGGACGCTAAGAGCTTCACAGGAAGCACATACGAAGCAAGGCAATCAGGTTGTGCAGCTGAATGGATGTGGAAATATGAAATGCATAGAATTGCTTCTACGGACACAATGACGTTGTTGTTGAAGTATAACAGGAGTAGGGCAAATATTGGCTTTCTGCATGACCTGCCTCAACTTCCTGATGAATACAGTTCCTACAGTTTTATTTGTTTAGCTTAGTTCTCTGAAACACGACCCAAATTGATACCATTAGGGAGTGAACCACTGAGAGCGTTGTTGTTTATGAGCAACATAAGAGGTTTGTTTGTGTGGATGTGTGCCTTCCACTTTGGTCTGTAGGACAAAAGCAGTGTCTGGATCCCTCTCTTTGCTCCAGGATCTCTCTGGCTCCAGACCAATGGCAAACATTCCTCTTTGATTCTGAGCTTAAAGGAGACTCTATCTAGCTTTGTCCATAAAACAAGTCTAACATCTGCTGCTGCTGCTGCTTTTTGAGTTACACACAAACATTGTTAAATACATAATACTCTCTGCTTTTGTGAACACAGAAATGTGACCACACTGCACTTTGTAGGAAGATTATAATTAAGTCGTGCTGTGTTGCCGCCCGCCTTGGTGGTTATTCCCTATGTGGGAGTTGATCAGATTGATGGAAGAAAAGGAAATCCAGTCCCACACAACATTAAACTTAATTCAGCTGAGCTTCACCAATTACTGTGATTCAGTATCGTTTGCCTCCAGTCTGAAACTGATAACTGCCCACATACCATGTTTAGAACCATCCAAGGTTTGCTATCCTGCCTCATGTCAATATCTAACCTGTGATTTTCTCTTTTTCCTTCCTCTGCCCTCTCCTACCTTTTGTCTATAGTTCGGACCGACTGATGGATGACACGATAAGGTAAGACCTGCTCTCTGTCTCCCACACCCCATCTCCACTGTCTTACCTACCTGCTGAATCCTAATCAAATGTACAATCTACCTTAACATGGCCTGACAGGTCCTGTTACGGTGGTTTCACATGGCCAAAATAATCTATACACATCAAAGCCTTGGAAGTGCAGCAACTGATGGTCACATTTATATCGTGTGTGCATTAAACTGAACAAAGCTGTCACGTGCCCAGAGTAAGTCCTCCCACATCACTGATTTATAGATGCCATCCATCTCTCTCCAGCCCTGCTCCTTCCACTCCCTGCAGAAATGCAGAAATGACAAATATGTTGTGTAGGATTTACCCTCCATCCCTGCTGGCTGCTTTCTCTCCCACCCATCGCCTTTTCCATTTCCAGTCCCTGCATCTCGTAAACTATGTTTGCCTGGGGCTTGGCTTGGACAGCGGGCTGATTTGTAGATTTCGTCTATATTTCTCAAATTCCGTTTCCTTACTTACCTTTTTAGAAGGGCTCATTTTCTCCAAAGTCTTGTCATTTTCTATTGCCTTTCTGATCTTTTCCCACATTTTTGAAAACCTTTTAAACTATACGTTTGCAATTCTGTTTCTTATTCCTCCCAAGTTAAATGTGGAAATCATTAAGGTTGCTTCTCAAATTATCCTATCGCACTCTCAAGTAAATGTCATTAATTAACTAAAGGGAGCAAGATATAGTTGCTGGGGAGAGATGTTGTGTAAAATCAAAACATTTCCAGATTATGATTTACATTAGAAAATAGATCTGGTTACATCTGAGTCCATAGAGAAATGATGAATAAAAGGCTCTAACCTAACCAGTGGCCACTCGTCATTAGGCACAGCCCCACCTAGTGTCAGCAGAAAGTAAAGCAAATAATAATTCCCAAAATATGCAAAACTAATGTATGTTAAAATATATGTTATGATCATGTTTAGTCATCTGATTCGTCTGTACATTGCTGTTTTAGTCTGCGTTCTTCTAGTTAGTGTCTACAGTGTGCCTATTGAGCGACGTGGGGCAAGCCCCTCTCTCTGCTGTTAAAATGAACGTGTACTGTAAAAACTACACTGCGCATGCTCAGAGTATTTTTCTATTCAATGTGTGCGGCAAAAAAACAATCAGAATAGGGGCACTGTGCTGCCATACCCACTAAACGTCATCTCATAATTCAGAGAGCTGATTGGCTGTAAGTATGTGTGCTGCGAAAAGTGTAGATGTGAAGAGGAGACGAGAGAGAGCAGCTTATAGCGATTAAAATCAGTAAAACGGAAAGAAAATGAATTAAGTTGACCATCTACTTCAGCTTTGGTAAGTTCATTTTATGTCATATCTTAGATGTGTGTGTATATATACACATCTAAGTTGTTCTTTTGCACATATAAAAACGCCACTGAACCTAACTATCTCTATTTGCTCTTTGAGTAGTGAACTACTTATCTTTGGACGTGCTTGCTGTTGTTGCTTTGTTTGGGAAGAATTAAAGTGAAGAGCACACAGTCTACTTCTCCAGTTACTCTTCTCTCGTGTGGAGTGTCCTCTTCCTGTGGTTACCTCTCTGGTAACTCCGACCCTTATTTCCATTTCCCTCTGGTGCATATCAGAACAACAAACAACCTTGAAAAGAAATGCTGAGACGTGCTTACAAATCAGAATAACTTTTTTGTTGTTGTTTATCGTAAGGCTGATTCTGTGTGTGTGTGTGTGTGTGTGTGTGTGTGTGTGTGTGTGTGTGTGTGTGTGTGTGTGTGTGTGTGTGTGTGTGTGTGTGTGTGTGTGTGTGTGTGTGTGTGTCAAAATAAGACGTGTGGAGGTTTCTGTAGTCAGCAAAGTGTTTCCCCCTGACAGAGGAGAACATGATCCCCAAAACACTGCTGCAGGCCAAGACTGCGGACTGTCAGGAGAAGCCATAACCACACACACACACACACACACACACATAGGCGCCCGTTTTCTCTAGGCCTGCTGCTCATCAGCTCTTCCAGCCAAGTGTAAACAACCGTGGCGATTTCATTTACTTGGTTTTGTCCGGCCTCCTGTGAAGCCCTGTCTCTCTGGGCTGGGAGGAGTCAGTCCCCTGGGCGCTAATTGCTTATCACCTCGCTGCCAACAGTTACATTTTGTGCCACCTGTTGTTTTGAGCATATTAACACTAAGCTAAAGTCAGCGTTTTGTCATTGTCGGATTGTTGTGGGGAGTATTTTTCTAAATGTCTCTCTCTGAGAAGGGCTCAAACGAGGGCAGTGTAGCTTCCATTGATTACTGCTTGTAACAGACGCCACAGAGGGGAAACATAGAGCCTGAAACCTTTCCTGCCAACTGCCCAGCGGCACTTTGCTGCACGGAAAGGTGCTGAGGCCGGAGAGCTAAAGTAACACAGTAACTCTACACCTTCCTGTACAAGCCACAGCTCACACACATATCGTAGGAACCGACGTAAAGATGAAGCAGTGATAGGATGACTTATGTTTCACTACAGAACGATTGTCTTTTAGTACGGATGTGCCTACAGGAATATTGTCTTTTAATACCAGATTGAATCACTGCGCAGGGATATTGAGAAATGAACAACAGTACAGTATATTCTGAACGTATGCAACCAAAAAAAAACTGCCTTTTTCTGGACCCGAATGAAATGATTGGACAGGCTTGTTACACTCCTGTCGATAGCTAAAGATACCAGATCTTTTTTTTGTGAGATCATTTGATTTGTTAATGGCTGACAGGATATAAAGAACATTTAAAAAATGATTTTTATTACCAACTCTAGCTTTAAATACTAAAAATTAAAAAAGAAACTCAAAAAAATCTAATAATTGTTTAGAAACTAGCTTTTCTTTGGTCATACATGCTTTCCTGAAATGGTGCTTGTAGGGAGTAAATGTAGGTGACAGGACATCTTAATTTATTTCCAAAAATAGACATTTAGGTGGTTCTGTTTTCCGCCTTGACAGCTTTAGCGTTCTCACTTGCAGTCAAAGGCTCTTAACAATACTAATGAGTGCAATGCCATGCAGCATTTTGTCACTGTTCATCTCATTTCTCCCTTTTGTCTTTTAGTATTGCCATGGCAACCAAGGAGAACATGACCTCGCAGCGTGGCTTCCTGAAATCCATACAGAGCCGGGTCAACACGCTGGCCAGTATCCTTTATGGTGCACATTAAGGTTGCTTTATGTTCTCCCTGGGGGGTGGGGAAGGAGGTCAACATTAGGTAAAACAAACAACCACCTAATTAATCACACGCCGTTGGCAATGTTAATGGCATAGTTGTGTGTGGAACCAAATAGAAGAGAGCTCACAATGGATTGGAAGCTGAAGGATTGATGGTATGAAATGAATGCTGGTCCTTTAGAAATCAATGCTCACATATTGCTTTTCTCTGATGGAAAGTGGGTCTTTGTTATGAATATTTATAGGGATGGACCAAGGAGTGGTCATTCACACAAATTATCTTTTGATACTTATAGAAGCCAAGTAATGTAAAACGGTCTGAGCAAAGAGCTAATGCAGGTTGAGAGGGCTTTTCTACCATGTTATACGTTTAATCAGTCCTCTTTTAAGTAGGTCTGGTAATTTACATGACTTTATTTACAATTGCATTTTGGCTTCCAAAGGTAACAAAAACAAGATAATGTTGATCAAATGAAAACTGTGCGGCATTTTGTTTTTCGATGATGCTCCTGTTTTCAGAATCAGAAACGGGTTTATTGCCAGGTAGGTTCACACATACGAGGAATTTGACTTGATGTCATGGTGCATACATCAAATATAAAACAAAAAATCTCCATATAAAACAAACTTTTTTTGTTTTCTGTTATAAATTCAGTGCACCCTTTTCCTTGAGTTTTAAAAAAAAGTTCAATATCCATCATGTTCCCCAATTCTAGATATCATATCATTGAGATCTCATTATATGTTAAGATTTTTGGCTGAATCATTAAGCCTTCAAATGTTCAGTTTGTTAGCTGTCCTGAGATTTTATATTTGCATGGCATCGACATCCAAAGTGTTTGATTTATGACGTCCAACCAAAGATGTCTTTGTGAATTTAAATATTTGTGATCTTCCTTAACTTTTGACCCTCCCCGACCGTTTCCCAACCATCAACAATCTCATCCAGCGAATAAACCTGCGGAAGAGGAGGGACTCCCTGATCCTCGGCACAGTGATCGGCGTCTGCACCATCCTCCTCCTGCTCTACGCCTTCCACTGAAAGCCTGCTGAATGTTTAAAGGAGCCGCACTCGACGTGCTCTCTGTAACATGGGATACCCAGAGACTAAGCTCAGTGATTGGATAACCCGAGGCTCCTGAGCAGGGGGACATTCAGTTGGTCCAGATCTTGGACGGGAACAGATTTGGCCAACAAGAACTACTGAACTTGTATTTAGCAGTGGGACAGATGGAGGGCTGCCAACAAGTGAATGGAGACCAAAAGTATAAAATAAGTCTAGATTTTAATTAAATATATTGACAACTCACTGGAGAGTGTGAAGAGACTGAGAGAACGTGTGATGATCATCATTATTTTCCACAGGGAGGATTTTTAGTTAAATTGTCCTTTTTAATGGAAGTGGGATGGAGAGTTCATTGTGGGCTGTATAATGTGAAATTAATAAATTATTCATATCAGTATGTGTAAACAAGTGTGTGGTACTACTAGATACTGAACATTTAACGCTTTTGTGAATATGCTGTGAACTCTACATTTCCGACCGCCAGGATGTAACAGCAGGGCATGTACAAATATATTTTGTTTACTACATTTCCATTTAAAAAGAAATTACTGTTGTGTTTTATGTGAAAGTAAAGCCATCCAGGCACTCCAAAATGTAAGAAAAGTAGTATGGGGAGAGAGAAAAGTCTTTCTGGTAACTTCTTCTGACAGTTCGGAGGGCCTGGATCAGCTTTTATTCTGGTTTTCACAATTTTCAAACACCCGACACACCCTTCATCTACGGTTAAATATACAGACCAATCAGTTAGATCTCACCCCTATTTTTGTATTTGTCTTATTATAAAGAGAGGACAAGTGGAGAGGGGCAGAACGATTGGGGACTACAGTACATGCTCCCTGGCTGAAATATCACCGATGATGGTTGGTTATCGGCATTTGCAGAACATGATTAATGTTTAAAAGTACATTTTCCAAATTCAAAAACGTAATCCAAATACTGAACAGCGTCTGTAAAAAAAAAAGATTCAATGTAGCAAATGTTAATATTTAACAACAAAAAAAGTAAGGATATAAAAAGTATGAGGTCAAAATGGATTGTCAGTTTGATCAATTATCCAAGAGGCTTCATCCTTTCTGAGAGTGGTAGAGGGGACAGGATTGCAGCCTGAACACAGTTATCAGATTCTTCTGAAATGGGTAACTTTATCAAAGTTGTTTTAAAGTGTAAGATGTCTTTAACACCACACTGCCAGCTCTATTCACTTTTTAGGTTTCTGGAGAAGATGAATGAAGATGTCCTGCTTTAATGGTCGGCTGTTGAATTACTTATCCGTTCTGCATGTATAGTTTGCCTGGCAGAGCCAATGAACCACTATTCCATTTCACTGCACCTGAAGTGCAAAGTGGCCTGTGCGTTTGAAGATGGGAAATCAAGCGTTTATCTGAGAAGGGGTTGATTGCCGGGTGGGGGGTGACCCTTTAGATTAAAGTCTTTGTTGGGGGAGGGGTGTAAGAATGTGAAAGCTTGTGTGTGTGAGAAACATCAATGTGTTTTATGTCTCACAGCATCAGGCTCACTTCAATGGACGGAAAAGGATAAAATTGGAGTCTTGTCCTCATTCCTTCTGTTTGATGCCTTCCTCACAAAGTAAGACTGAAAGTGAAACAGTAGCCAGACAAGCATAGCCACCATCCCATGAATCTCTCACTTCCTTCAGGAAGGAAGCAATGTGCTGGAGTCTGAATTTGGTCCAGACGTGCATATGCTGTCGCTAAGACTGCGGAGTTGCTGAAGCATTGAGCTCCTGAATATTTCAGCCAGTCAAACCCAGCGGCGCCGAAGCAGAACTAAGTGCCAGATATTCTCACTTAGAAGGGTCGCGCTACAGTAACTTCTGACAAGCACAAAGTCTGTTTTCTTACAGCATCTGAAATGTAAGTCTGTGTCTGTAGAAACCATACACGAGTGGCTTGTTAAATCTTTCAGTTGATGATGGGCTCAATTGTTTGTATTGATGGGCTTAAAAGCTTTTTACGAGGACGTTAAATATAGGTAAAGTACAATTTTACATTTATACAACCAAGAAAAAGCTCTCACCGATAATGGTTGTATCTTTTATTGGATTTGTTTCTGGATTGGTGTGTAAGGATTGCATCAGGCAGAAACTCTGTGTATTGTGGAGAGCTGGCTTTATATCTATCACAATTGCTTTCTTCCCCTTTTCTTCCCAGAGATGTCTGTAACCCAGTTGTAGCGGCCATGATAAATGGTGTTTGTCTGCCCTGAGGCACAATGTGTGTCAGACCCGCTGTAGGGACAGGGTTAAGCAATCTCTTCCATTCCGTCTCAATAAAGTGAACATTACACATTAATATTACTCTTACAGGGTGGCGCGTTTATTTTCATTACAATTGACTTTATGATTGGATTTTTTAAGGATAAAATATTTTCATTTCACTTAAATAATTTAAAATGGCACAGCACTGATTTTACTTTCATGTTGTGCTTCATACCTGCTAGTGTAGGCTACTAATGGGCAATGATCTGATATCATCGATACCAAATGAAAACGTTGAAACACGACATTATCTTTAAGAAATGTCATATTGAACATTTCCATGGCGTGTCTGTGACAGGGCTCAGAAATGAGAAATGTGTCACTTTCAGAACAGGAAACGTGTTTTTATTCCTTTGAGTGCAAATCCTTCAGATGTCTGGAATAGCCCATCAAGAAAATAGCCAAATCGCATTTGCTTTTGTGAGTTTATATAAATGTAACTGATTTAGCTAAATATGCATGAGTTTTGATGTGCATTTTACCCCAACATAAACATATATTTGCTTTAAAATAAGGCTTGAATAGGGTCGTCTTCACCTGAATTAGTGCATTCTGGATTTGTTCTACTCTGACTGCAGCTGCAACATCCAGAAAAATGTTTGTTTTCTACAAGCTGAGCACGAAATTCAAATTTCCATCACAGTTACTCATGTTCATTTAATTTAGGGAATCCGGATTAACAATAGATTAATTGTGCAGCCCTACATTCACATACCGTCTTGTTTTCACTGTACATGTGTAGCTTTTATTGTGTCCACTCTTATATAGTATGTGTAAGGTAATTGAAATAATATTTGTACTTTTTATGATTTTGAATGTTTCTATCTCTCTCTGGATTATTACCTTTTGCATAATGAGCGACATTTCTCATAAATAAAATTGTTTTAATATATATTTTTCTTTTTCAGTTCAAACCGTACACTTACAGTTAGGTATTCCTTCTTACCAATGGTCGACAGCATTTTTCTGTCGGTAGGCCTACACTATTTATCTCCTGACTGAAACATCTCCGTAAGTATTCGATGGATGGCCATGTTCTCAAGAGGATAATAACATGGTATTTCCCTTTTTTTAAATATATACTTTATTATAATCAAATACATTATGTCAGACTCAGCTGAAGTGCTAATAAATACTTGTTAGCTTTCTAAAAAGATAAACTAAGCTGGTGAACGTAGTTAACATTTTACTTGCAAAACATTAGCCCGTTAGCATGCTTATATTATTAATGAATACAGCCTAAGAGAGCTGCTGCGTGGCAGTATATTGTTCTTGATACTTTTTTTAAGTCACTATACAACTCCAAGAAACAACATCATCAAAAGGCAAAAAACTTGGACCATGCATGGAAACATTTATTACAGACATGCAAAATGTACACCACAGAGATGAAGACTGGCACATTCAGTACACTGGAAAAGAAACACAGTAATACATCTGAATGAAAGGAAGGTTTGAACTGTTTTACTGACAGAGCAGAGCTTATTGGCTAGACACTCGGCTGTTAGAGAGTAAACCTAGAGCAGTAAAGTACACACGTGTTGCCATTTAGGCTAAGATGTTATGTCACATGTTTTTAATTTGGTGGTTAACATGGGGAATCTTTGGATTTTGCTGCTTTAGATGGATTGTGGGATTTTTATGTACAACTATGAATTGAAATGGAATTTCTTGAAGCCCATTTCACACAAAACATTGTGCTATGTACTGTTAATGTTTGACAGGTTGCTGTTGTTCATCTTTACACTTGGATGTTTATTTTATTACTTGGTAGAATCTCTGTCTGATACATTTAATCGCTCATCAGTGGAAATCAGCTGGTGTTTCACTTGTTAGAGCCCTTAAAAAACACAGTTTATACCTTTTTAAAGAAACCTTTCCCGATTTAAATTACACGCACTAAAAAATGAAGCATTAATGCCCAAAGAAGCGCTGTGGATTCATATAAAGCGACATGGTCTTACGGTGATGTTCCCTGTGCTAGTAGCATAAGCCTGCAATGTGTCAATACAACAGTCCTGAGAAGCCACATGGGATAAATGCAGTGACTTCTTTCTGATAAAGTGACACATACAGACAATCACTCGTGCTCGGGTTTCAAAGACTGGTTCTTTAAATGCTATTTGTTGTTACTCAGTCAAACTCTTAGGCCTGTTCATTTACAAAAAATAAATGTGTAAGCCTGTTTAGCATATAACATGCGTACATATTGCATATATATTTCCCATATAAATACATTTCATAACAATACAAGAAGCAGAAAAACATTCAGTGGCATTTAACAGTCAATGTAAGAATGGAAATTAGGAACTATAACACTATAATGTACAAAGGTAGAATCTAAAATGGAGTTTAAGGGAATAAGATGAGACAGAACTGAAGCCACTTCATCAGGCTTTGTGTTGAAGATAGGGAGATGTGAAAGGAAAAGAAGGTTTTTGGGGTGTTAGGCATGCGTTTCAGTCTCTGCCAGAGCAGGGCAAGGTTCAAGATATTCTGGAGACACAAAGGGGCGAGGGGTGATACACACTCTACAGCGGCTGGACTCACATAACGTACACAAATCACTCTTCATGTGCAAACCTGTCGGCCTCTCTGACTCCTTCAAAAGAAGACACAACTAATAACAGTCAAAACGAAGGCAGGATGTTGGTAATCTACATTGAGGCATGCAGTTGGTCTCAACCTTGTTTTTTGTGGAAAAATGATAATAAATAACACAATTAAAAACGTGTTCCCTGCCCCTTTTCACAAACCCTTGAAATTCTACTGATAATAGGGCTGACGAAGCAGCCATCGTAACAATCTTAACAAACCCAGCACCACTTGGCATACAAACATTTTTATAAATTGTACATCTATTGTATATATATATATATGTTCATATATCCATATTTCAAATATATTTGAAGCTGTATATGCTTTAAATGCAAGAGGTTCAGTAAGGAATATATGTGGATTATATGAAGCTGTCCGGCGTTTGAAGCCCAAACCCAGAATCAGTTTCTCAAAGGAGCACACAGTTTCTTCTTCACTCTCTCTCAAGCGTTGATCGTCCTCTTCGTTTTAGGAAGTCCATTTTTTCAAGGAACCTTTATGAGTCCTCCAGGCTGCATACAATCATCATTTTCTGTTTCCTCTGTTTTAACCTGAACATTGTTACTTCAGGTTTCTTGTTATTTTTGTCAAGCAATCGTTACTGGATTCTAATGCATGCATCTCTGGATTTTTCTCTGAATGTATTTATTTGTTAACTTGCTTTCGTTAGTTGACCATTTTGTTTGTTGCTTTCTGAGGTCGGTGATGATGTAATTACAATATGGCATGGAGTAAGGAATTGTATTTCTTTTTCTTTTTTTATCCGAACGGCTTATCCCCTTTTGTTGCATCCGTGGTTCGACTTTCACGGTAAATGTTTCCCCCTCAGTTTTAGCTTACTGCAAAGGAAAGAAGAAGAGAAGCGTGGCATCATCAGAGAAAGTCCGCACACACACATCGACAGCTGAAACCCGCCATCAAATTCATCATCTCTTTGACTGGTGCAGCTCAAGTGTGTGAGGCTTAGAGCGGTAAGGTAGCCGCCCTGCTGCAGTCAGCCCACTACAGTCGCTTCAGTGCTAAATCAATATCACACACACACACACACACACACACACACACACACACACACACACACACACACACATGTGTGGTAGTGTCATATATCACACTGTAACCGTAATGCAGTGGGTATTCTTTGTTATTGAACACTTGGCAAAAACCCTGTGTGTATCTATTGCATCTGTGAGTAGACACGAGCACATACAAACACTATCTATATAATACTATCATCATAAAATACATGCATACTAATCAGCATACTGAGTTATAGAGGCTTCACCAAACACTGTATGTAAAGATGAATTATGATCCCAAACATAAACTGGCTAATTTTAAAATGCGTCCTTTCTTGTCGTTGTTTCTGTACCTGAAACTGAGACGTAGACCACGATGATGATGACCCCCAGGGCGATGGAGACGATACTGAGCAGGCGGGCGAGTCGGCCCAGCCTCTTGGCCCCGTCCATATCCCCCCCCTGTAGGCTGTTTCTGGACTGAGACACACAAAGCACAGGGAGGAGCATTGAATTATAAGGTTGAGCAAGGCTTAGCTATATAGGATGTGACATCATTAAAATAACATACCACATAAGGGTAGAAAGGGTTTTATGAATAAACGTAATTTCTCTCACAAATAGGCGCTGGAGAGGATTATTCCTTAAATGACTTTATTTCATGAATGTAATCAGCTAGCATACCGTAATAAATATATGGAGGAACCTTCAACCCACTGAAAAGCTATGTACTCTTAATACTTCTTACTCTTAATAGTCTTAATAATCGTACTACTCTCCTTGTCTAAAATACTCTTATCAGATCAAAAGAAAGCCTTCACACTGAAATGGCTGCAAAGGTCTGAAGGATTTGTCAAATGTTTACAAAATAATCTGTATGGAGAGATTGACCTGAACCGTAAAGACTTGTATGAGCAAAATGTAAAATAGTGGAACAAATTGACTAAATATGAGACACCTATTACATTGCAAAATGTTGCAAAAAAATATACTATTCTGCTAAAGCTGTGCCTTTTTTCATTCATTATGTCGTTCATTTAGGTCTGTGGACAGTTCATCGACTTTCATATTTTCCATATCCACAATGAGTTTCTATAAGTGAGCTTACATTTATTAATACAAGCGATAAGAAACCTTTATATTTCTGTCTAAAAAATAAAAAGGGGAACCTCTCACTTAGCTGAATCAGCATTTACCACATTAACTCTATCAGTAAAACCTCAAAGTAGCCCCGCCACCATAAGCGGGAGAAAGATCCCTCTGCAGGTCAGGAGCCGTACTCTCCTGCAGTTTTCTGAGAGTTACACTTTGAAATATTTATCAGGTGGTCTTCCATAAACCGGCCAAGTTAATTTAAAGGGGAAATGACACACATGCAGTAAAGAAATGTTGACTTGTCCACTTGCTATTGAAATTGAGACATTCATTTATCGTCCAGCTGTTAACGGGGAAATTGTCTATTTCAGATATACAGATTGGGATTGATGGAAGGATGTGACATGCAGAGCCAATTGCACGGAGTAGGTGAGCGCAGCAGAGTGAAGGGGCTGTATATCAGCTTGATGTTATTTGTATATTGCTTTATGTATGCTGCGGATATGAAGACAGGTTGATTTATGTGTGTGTGTGATGTGAAGCACGACGGATATGAGTCCTGCATGCCGGTGTATTGCGCTCATGTGCCAAAGTCCCAAAACAACAAATCTTTCAGCGATGATGTCACTTTCTTCTCGTCAACATTATATGCTGCTTTTAATATGTGATACTTTTCGAACATACTGTTGTGCATGGTGGCACAAATAAGGACCAATATAAGGCAATCACACACACCAAAACAATATATGACTTTGCAATGGTTTGGTTCTAGACATTGATTTTGTTCTAAAAAAACGAAAATATTTACTTTATTTAATAATTTATTTAAGATATTATTTGACATTATCTTGTCTTTCAAATATTTTACAAAGTCTTTACTCCTTTTATACATGTGTTACTTTCTGAAAAGTGTGTCATTTTAAATACAAATTTGAAGGAGACATTAGAGCCGATCTTCCCTTGGAAGGATATGACAGCACTGTTAGACAAGTTTGTTTATTATGGTAAACATGGGCGCTGTCATTTTTTACAAGTCAAATTCAACCAGCCATTGCATACACTCATTAGCTCAACACACGTGTATTAATCCATGGCTGAAAATAGTCCCAATTTAGTAAAATCAAAACTACAGTGCTCAGCTGTTTGAGGTAATAACTGAGCCCCTCTAGAGACACGGAAAATATAAAGTTTGTGGTTGACCCTCTGTTTAAAATGAGTGCTACAGACAGGGCAAGGACATCAAACGTATGAAAGACGAAAATACAATATATGGTTTGGACCATTTATTGTGATTGGTTCACTAGGAGAAATATATACAATGACTAACAACTGAATCAGGTCAATCAAGATTTGGCTTCTGTTTGATTTCATCCATTGACATTATAGGTGAAGAGATGAAGATAGTAATGGAGCTAGAAAACCTAAAATAATATAATAAGAACAATGCATAACCCGTCCCACCTTACCACACATATAGTGGCCCAATTCCAATCCACCCCCTACACCCTACCCTTACACACTACCCCTCCGTTTGCGCGTTCGGGCGGAGGGTCCGCCACATTCAGTGCTGTTCCAAACCAACGAGTGTGGAGGGGGAGTGGGTTATCAAGCCCTCAAACAGCGAGTCTGCATCGGTGCTGACTTCACCTGCTGCCCTACCTGACCGGACTCAACGCTGTGTGTCCGTCAGGAAACACGCTGTATACAAACACTTCCTGCAAACATCCACTGATAAATTGCGATCTTAACAACCTCACGATAACCTCATATTTGTTTAACTTAGGATCATACCTGTGTTTAGTCTAGAAAAAGGTAAATTACATTACATTGCATTTAGCTGATGCTTTTATCCAAAGCGACTTACAGTAAGTATATTCGACCAGGAAGATACAATCTTGAAGAAAACTGTGTGCATTTTATTATAAAGTTGTGTATACAGAATGTTGCAAACACTAAGAAGCTTATAAACATCAGGTTTAAAACTAAAAGAGTTTGGAGTTTTATTTTAGTTATTCATTTGATTTCTTGTCGAAGAGATGCTGATTTGAAACCGTTGTTACATACAGTTACGGCATTTCCTGTTTCTGCCGAAGAGAGGGGAGGCCGTCCCAAAGCTTGC